GTATACCTGAGAAGGAGCATCTCCAACCCCATCGTTCATCCTGGCCACCAAGATCCAGCTCCGAGAACCTTCTGTTGGTTCCCTCACTGTGAGAAGTGAAGTTACAGGGAACCAGGCATTTCTTGCTTTCTGTTCTGTAAACAGAATATCTTGCTTGGTGTTCAATACAGTATCTTCTATATGGGTCTTATATGCCAAGGTTTTTCATGTTCCTTTATGTTGGAGTGATATTTTTTTTTAAGGCATGTGTTCTAAACAGAAAATTCATGACTTGTATTAATGATTTATATCTTAAATGGCATGGTGAAATCTATCATTGACGTGATAAGCTGCACATTATTCCCTATCTACATATAGCCTTGTAGCACTGCAATATCTGGCAGTGAATGTAAAAAATAAATTTTCCTTGGTTTTTAGGCATATCTCCCAAGTATGAGACATGCTTCACTTGTTTTTCAAATTTAGCTGCAAGTCATTTGAGGAATGCACTATGGTAAGTGTGTGTGAGAGAGAAAGAGGGTGAAGGGGGGAGAAAAAGAGATGCATATGTTTGTATGTATATATATTTACATATGGGAAAATGATGTATTGCCCAGGTGTGGGTGTGTTCTGTACAATTTGATTTTTACTGCACAAGTGCTGAATGTACTGTCTGGTGCAAAATTTTGCATAGCTAGAAGCAATGTTTTCATTTTTTATTTGTTAAAAAAGGCACCTTTTTGTGGTTGCAATTTAAAGTTTGAGAACAGATGGGGAAAATATGACAAAATCAGAGCAGTTAAAGATATTATTGGAGAAGATTTTCCAGTAGACAGAATAGCTATGCCTTGGTGCCTTGTATCTTCGCTTTGCAATTTGTCCTTGGCTCTTCTTCTACAGCTTTCCTTTCCTAATCCCTAACCTTCCATTCTTCCAAGGGGAATAGTCTCCTTGTATCAGATCAACTCTGTGTAAATGCAGTCTTTTCATTTGTTGACCACAAACCACATATTACTGGCAGTTCATTATATAAGAATTATCTACAAGATTCTAATACATATCCCCATTTTGATATTTATATTGTAATTAAAAACTTTTTGTGCACTGTATCTCTGTTGACCATGAACATTTATGCCTGGATTGAGTGCTTGCTTCTTAGTCTTGCCTCCAACCAGTGCCTCCAACTAGAAGAGGAAGTTCAGGTCATTTCACTCCATTTATCATGAGTCCACTATGAATGGCATCCTGCACAAACAGGGATAAGGACCATCTAAGCAATAATAGTTTGTGGTGTAGGTAGCATGAGCACTGGATGTGGACCTGCAATCTAAGCCTAAAGCCAAAAACTGCAGGTTCTGAGCCAGCATCTCCAGAGACTTCGATCTACCAAGAGACCTATTTCTCTCTACCCCCAGGGACAAACATTGCTCAAGTCTATAGATAATGCAGGTTATGAATAGCAGAGACAACTAAAGTACTAGGCTCCAGGCCAGAGGACTTATCCCTACAAAATATCCCCCTTCCACTTCTGCAATGGTGGTCCAATGATGGGAAAACTGTGGCTCTCCAGATATTGTTGGCCTCTGCTTCCATCAGTCCTGCACCAGCATGGCCAGTGATTGGGGATGCGGAGAGTTGTAGTCTAGCAACATCAGTAGGACCACATATTCTCTACCAAACACACACACAGAGACACAGGAAACCAAGCACTCTTCGGAACAATGCGTTTGTTCACTCTGACCTGTCCAGGGTACTGAAAGACCTCCTTCGGACCATTCTTATTCTTTGATCTGGGATTGGATTCTGCCTGCCAGTTAGTTTCCAGCTCTCCCTAACAGCTGCAGACTGAATACTACCCCTAACAAAAGAGTGAAATGCAGTGAAAGCACGGTGCTAGTTGTAACCATTCAAAAGCCCTCTCTCCAAGTATTGTAATTTGAGAGTATTGGGTGAGATTTTAGCTTGTTTACAAAGCTATTGTACTACCAAATTTACTGTACGTTTGTGAAACACAGACCACTTATAAACAACAATCTCCATCTCCTCAAAATACTCCATCAAAGGTGTCTCCGAATTTGTTTCCTTATCACTTGGGAAGACAGGTGAACTAATGTCAGTGTACTGGAAGAAGCAAAGATCACAAGTGTTGAAGCAATGACTCTTCAACATCAACTTCGTTGGATTGGTCAGGTGTCTGATTATTGTCTTCCAAAGCAACTCCTCTGTTCCCAATTTAAGAATGGAAAGCATAATTGCTGGACAAAAAAAGAGGGTTTAAAGACACTCTCAATGTGTATAAACACTGACAACTGGGAAACACTGGCCTGCGAGTGCTCCAGTTGGAGAATAGCCTCTACCAAAGGCGTCATGGACTTTGAAGAAGTATGAACTTGGGACGAAAGGGAGAAACAAGCTAAGAGGAAGGCATGTTTTGGCAAATCCTCACCATGATCAACTCCCACCTGGAAACCTATGCCGCCTATGTGGAAGGATGTGTGGATCCAGAACTGGCCTCCACAGTCACCTATGGACATGCTGTTAAGACCATATTCATGGAAGACAATCTTACTCGGCTACAAGTGATCGCCAAAGAAGAAGAACTCAGAGTGGCCAATTGAAATTAACGAACACAACTAAGTTGGGTTCATTAATTTCAATGGGTCTACTCTGAGTAAAACTTAGTTAAATACCACCCAAGTTCTCTGAACGTTAGAAAGTGATTGGTGGCCTTTGTTCAGTTTGCCTTCTGTTTATCCTTCAGTACTCAGACCACCCTTTTTTATACATTTGTCCCATGTCTCCAAATGCTATGCACCTATGTGAAGCCACCTGCATATTCCTGGGGTTGGACTAGATGGATTGGGGGTTGGACTAGATGACCCCTGGGTTCCTTTCCAACTCTACAATTCTATGATTCTAAGCAAGCAAGCCAAACAGCCACTAGCACAAGGCTTTTCACCTGTGCAATGGAACTGATCCATGTACACAATACACCCTTCCCAGATCTGCTCAATAGGGCTGGGGGGGGACCCAGAGCAGTCAATGTGTCCATATCTATATCTATATCTATATCTATATCTATACCTATCTATCTATCTATCTATCTATCTATCTATCTATCATCTATCATCTATGACATCTGGTTTTTGGTTCATACAAACACTCAAGGAAGAGGAGAAACTCCTCCTCTTTGCAACACAACCGGCAACAGCAATAGCAACAGAAATGAGTATACAGGTGAAATGGTTCACTTTATGTGGGAACTATTTAGTATACAATTACCACGAAAACAAGACTAGTAGAATGTTAGCAAGGAAAAAAATTCTTTTTGTTGCCACATTAACAAGGCCTCGAAAAGCATCTACACTAGTCATTCCCTGAGGCAGAGGGCATCTGCAGCTCTGCACAATTTTGGCTAAATCTGCAGCACAGATTTTTAAATGTTTTCCATTTATTTTATTACAACTTTTTGCAAAGCCTTATGTTTGATGAGGAAACAGTGGGTATGTTATTGTTCACAGTTTTGCTTGTTTAAAAAGGAAACACTCACTTTTCCAAATAGCTTCCCCTTGCCCCCACCTCCTGATGCCATGTGGAAATAGTCAGTCCATTTAAAAACTTAGAGCATGCAATGAGCTAGAGAGAGGCAAGGCAGCAGGATGGAAGCAAAAGGGTCCCTTTCCCCATCCATATGGTTCAGGTTTGCATCTTGTCTGGCATGATAATGTGATAGTTGGCAGAATTCATGTTTAGAGTCTCAAGCAAATAACAGCCAATAAGTTGTAGGTTTAATATGCACGTGGAGATGTTCGTAGTATTCCAGACTGGCTGATTCTACAGCTGCAGTCAATCCAAAGTTGCTGCATGAATCCTTGTACAATGGTGAAAGTAAACTGGAGGCCCTACCCTGATGTAAGTATCCCCCATCTGCTGCACAGGTGTAGCCTAAGTAGTCAATCAGGATATGTAACATGCATTTGTAAGGAAAGTGGAAAATTAAACTGTATGCATTTCCTTCCTTCCCTCTTTCTATCCACATTATTTCACAAAGAAATCAAGGAAATTCATAAGCACTGTTTTGTGCAGATTTCTTCTGTCCAAATGGCTCGAATGACAAGAAGCATGGATACATTAACAAATCTACACTATCAACATCTGAATGACATTACCTGTAACCAGCAAGCAAGTGCGGACATTCAAACATTGGAAAGAAGTCTGTAGTACAAGCAGTCTGCTGCGAGCTCTTTCCCTTCCACAATGCCTCTTTCCATTTTGCTTTCTCATTATTCTTAGCTCCTTTGGCTAGGTAATATTAAGAAATGCACAAAGCATGGGTGCCAACTCCCTGGGGTCCTGGCTGTCCGAGCATCCACAAAATTCCCCTTGAAGGGTCCAGGCACCTACAAATTTTGGTGCCAGGGCCATGTACACTGCATGGCACTCACAGTTGTGGGGCCAAGCTGGCACTCCTGCCACAAAGTCTACTGCAGGCTTCACACCTACATGGTGCAGCACTAATTGGCATTTTAGTGGGTATACAGACATTCTTGTGATCAAGGACTGTGCATACTATAAACCAGTGGTGGACAATTAAATGGTCTATGGTTTGAGCATTGCCCAGTTGATCTGATACACAATGCCAGGTGTCCATATATCTTGTGTGTCTGCTGTGAATCATACTATTTGCGCAGGTGTACAATTGTCTAGCAAACGAGTAGGGCAATGAGGAATATAAAGCAAAAAAGAAACAGATACACCTAGATACAGACATAATCTTCTGTACCACACTGTGTGTGTATGTGTGTAAGGCACATAAAGGATGCAATAGTCTCTGACATGGATATAATGAAGGTGCAGAAAGTTGAACAGATGGAAAGGAGCGCTGGATCATGATCAATTTCCTTTATGCCTTCTACATTTTCAACCTATGTGTAATAAACGTGTATGGCAGGCACATGTTTAATTAATAATGTGGTACATTTATAGGTAGACCAGGTATTATTTAAGTGCTTTGAACTTACCAGCCAAGACCAGTTCAGAAGAAAGAAGTCAGTGCAAAGGAAACCATGGCTACAGCTGGACTTTGGCCACTCTACTGGGCTTCTCAATGGAACATGAGATACCTGCAGACAAGGGAAAGGAACAGACTTGATTTTGCTGCCTCTGTCTCTGGCAGCAATGTTGCCCTCTGCAATTGGAGAACTGTAGTCCAGCCCACTTCCCATTCCCTTTCTGTCCTTTAGTCCATACGGTGGCCACAAGGGTCATTGTAGGTCTCTTGTTTCTAGGGTTCCCCATCCCAAATGTACCTCTCAGTTATAGGATACATCTCCACCTAGTGGTACTATTTTTTCCTTACAAAGCACAAAGTGCATGCTCATTCTGTGATGTGTGAAGCAGCCCACTGTTCAAAACTGGCAAGAGATATTCTTCATAGCAGAAGGCAGATAGATAGAGACACACATATATCTGATCTGTAGAATATTCCTTTTTGACCCCAAGATAAGAACTGTACGACATGACAGAAAGTGTCAGAATCTTTACAAAAAATAACTCCTTTAAAAACAAAATAAATAAAACTATCAACAAGAATAGCAACTGCTCAAAATTTATCTCAGAGCTGCCAAGAAGTGAACATTCATGGGAGAATGTTCTGTTGTTTTCAATGTTCTGTTGTTCACAAGGTGGACACAAATGCATACAGTTGGATGCTGACAACTTGACACATGTCTAATGAATCTAAAGCATGTGCACACACGCACAAACACACAAATTTACTAGGACTAAAAAAAAAGACCTTAAAAAAAAAAGCCCTTCCAAACAAACCACTTCAAGAAGATTTAATAGCTATGTAGGTTTTTGTGTACCTTAAAATACCATAGATGCTTTGTTAAAAGTGACAGTTAACATCTGTGTTGAAGATGCTACATTCTAACAGAGTGAGCTGCCGTTTGTTGAGTCCAGTGAGCAGATGTTGGAGGCCTAATGCATTGGTGACAAAAGGCTACAGTGCTTTAACCTTCCGCATCGCTTCTGTCTAACACACAGCAGAAAAGGCTTTAATTTGACAGGTTGGCTGGGATATAGAGAATTCAGCTCTGGCCACCTACAGAAGGGCCAAATCTAGTCATGAGAACAGTAGTGTGGGTGGAATGAAGCAGCGGGTGAGAGTAGTTTGCCGTCTTGCACTAAGTGGAGAGCTACATATACTGTTTATTTCTACAAATATTTAAAAGGGTTCCTATTGGAAGTTAATTAAGCAATTAAGCCGATTTGTCCTTTAATGTGCAAGGAAATCTTTGAGTAAGGTGAGTTGGAAAAGGAGTCAGCAGCTCCTAGCACATTTTGCCTGTGCAAAATGTTTTAAATGCCTTTTTCTCCCTGTGGTTGGGATGATGCAAGAGAGGAGAAATTAAAATGAACGCACAACCTAATGGCAATTCTCATACAAGCTGCATGTAAACAAAAACATCAGCACAAAACTTATGAATCTTAATTTGTGCCACTGAGCTAAAATTTGTATCTTTCTGCATTAAAGGAATATAGACATACAGCACTGTGTAGTGTCTACTTGCAATACAGAAAGCTGACATGGTCTTTCCAATTTATGGGAAAATTGACATAATTTTGCAAAAAAGGGGGGTGGAGAGGGAGAGAGAAGCAAAACCACTTGTGAACTAGATTTTGCATAATGGGATTAATTTGGTTGACTGTCACATCAGCTATGCTGTAGAATGCAAGTTAATCACAACATCGATATGATTTTTAAAGAAGAAAGAAAAATAGGGGGAAAGGGAGGAAGAAAAGGTATTTTCCTCCCTTGTCTGATTCTCCTTTCATTTTAAAATACTTCCCATTTCTACTGTTATGTGGAGGTGCTATGACAAATAATGGAAGTCTGTTTTGCATTGGGCCCAAGAAGACTGAAATGAGCTAGAGCCGGCCTCACTCTGGTAAGAAAATCATCAGCTTTTCCTGGATCATGTAAAATGGTTTTGTGGTAATGTTCTTAGCCACGCAATAGCTCGCTGTTTAATTTGATAACCAAGCTTTCTGCATTTGTCAAGAAGCATTGAAATGTCACCAACGCATGCTTATCTGAAACTTTGTGTTTCAGTTGTCACAGAATCCTGTCATTGCTAGGGCACTTACCTTGTCCTTTAGGTGGATGTGCCTGTACTGTGCCCGTACTGGCTGCAATCAGCAACTAGGCCTAGCAAATGCGAGCAGGTGAAGGTGGCCCCAAGAAGCCAATTCTAGGGTTAATTCAGTTCAAATGTTGTTTGTGTCAGACTCCTTTCAGGATCTGCATCTGGGACTATTGCCCTACATGTCCAATGGATAGGTAAAGGTACCCCTGCCTGTACAGGCCAGTCTTGACAGACTCTAGGGTTGTGCGCCCATCTCACTCAAGAGGCCGGGGGCCAGCGCTGTCCGGAGACACTTCCGGGTCACATGGCCAGCATGACAAGCTGCATCTGGCGAGCCAGCGCAGCACACGGAAACGCCGTTTACCTTCCCGCCAGTAAGCGGTCCCTATTTATCTACTTGCACCCGGGGGGTGCTTTCGAACTGCTAGGTTGGCAGGCGCTGGGACCGAGCAGCGGGAGCGCACCCCGCCACGGGGATTCGAACTGCCGACCTTTCGATCGGCAAGCCCTAGGCGCTGAGGCTTTTACCCACAGCGCCACCTGCGTCCAATGGATACCCAACTTCATATTTCAAATACAGCCACAACTGGTTCTCCCAACGTAAGATTACTCATATGAATTTTATGTGTACTTGTACCCATATCAATCTTTTCCTTTTTTACTGGGGTTGTGAGAGGGTATTCCAACAGCCCCTTGTTCGGCTACTGTAGTATCCCATTGCTACTGCAAGAGCAAATCATTTCTCTTTATTTTTGTCCTCACAGAGTTCAATTGTACTTTGACAGAATAATTTCTTTGCTTAAGTGTTTTTCAGAAGAAAGCTCACCAGGAAGAGAAGCACTGCAAGGCGCAGAAATGCCTTAGGGTCATGTAGCAGGGGTTTGTGAAGTCATTAGAAGTTGTGATTACCTGCTAGGATATTTCCATGTATCCTTTGCTGAATTCACTTAGTGGAGGAAACTCTGGTATTTTACACAGGCTAGTTTAAAGGAGAAAGTGATATGTTGTCACATACTGACTGTCTCTTACACAGGCACATATGGGAATAATAGTAGTAGCTGAATGCAAATGGATCTCCCCATACCAGGGATGGAGAGTCTGCAGCCCTCCAGATGTTGTTGCTCACCCATCAGCACCAACCAGCATGGCTAATGGTCAGTAATGTTTGGAGCTATAGTCCAGCAACAGCTGGAGGGACACAAGTCTCCCCACATCCCTATGCTAGATAGGCAGAACAGTAGCATCAAGCTGTGGTCCTGAAAGAGAACTCAGAAGTCAGGTGTAAAGTTTCTGTTTTTGCAGGTGGTCTGACTAGCTATTTTTGTCACAGCTGGAACCATCAGTGAAGGAAGATGGGAGAATGTCAGGTGTGAGGAGGCGATCAGCAGAGGAGGCAGAGCAAGGCTCAGTGCACTACTGAGAGCAATTGAAGGCTAGAGACAGTATGACTCTATAGCAAACGAGACCCACAAAATAACAATGGATAGGGAACTAACTGGTTACAGGTGGGGATTTAGTTAACTAATGAGTGAAGTTAATTCATGAGTAGAGGAACAGAATTATGAGGGGTTCTGTAACTAAAAATGAGTGGACATAATACTTGATAAGTGTGGGTGAGAAAGGTCCTGGAGGAATAAGGGACTCATCCAACCCATCCATCTATTCAGGATTGGCACTGTCCATAGGAAATCCAGTGGCAGCAGACTTAACCTAAACTTAAGAAGACTAAAACCTTAATACTAAGAATACCACACCAGGAGAAAAGGAAGACAGAAAGTAGAAAGTCAGGCTCCTTCTGGCCTATTATTATAGTCAGCATGACCTTGAGTGAAAGAGATAACAGAACCAGTCCAAACAAGCTATTCAGCTTCTACAAAGGAAAAGGCCAAACATCAGGAACCTTCTGTCTGTTTTTTAGGCAGAATAGAAACTTGCTCGTCGGCTAGAAACCTCCAGTTTGCACTAGTTTGTATCACACAGAGAAGCTTCCAGAACCCTCCTGAATCAATTAGAATAGGAAAGATCTCTACATATCAGATCAATACTTTCTTCACCAAAAAATGCAAACTGACATCTGAGGGGATGCTGACCCATAGCGAAACCCTTATACTGAGGAGAAAGCAGGGATGAAGGAAGGGGAAAGGAATGAAATTTTGGGGTGGGAAGAAACATACAATTGAATTCCGAAAGACATTCAGGGGAAAGGAAATAAATTGCTTATGGAAATAGACAAAGAGAAGAAGAGAGGGTTTAGAGACAACCCCACTGCAGAGTAGTGTTAAATAGGTGTGCTCTGGTTGTATTCTTCATACATTTACCAGTTTGACTATAAATAAAGTTAAATCTTTAAAATGTAAGAGGAGACCTGCTGAACCAGGCCCAAAGGCCTATCTTATACAACAGCCTGTTCTCACAGTGGCCAACCAAATGCCCATTGGAAGCCCACAAGCAAGAACTGAATACAGCAGCTCTCTCCCCACTTGCGACTCTTAGCAACTGGTGTTCAGGGACAGCTGTAAGAACAAGCCTTGTCTGTAATGCTCTGCATCTTTTCAGTTTGACTGGTTCTATAGGAACAAAAGTACAGTATGTTAAAACAAAGCTATTTCTTGCCCATCCACTCTAAAATGGGAATCTAAAAATGGCTGGTAACTTGTTTCATTTTCACCAAGGTGCACAAAATGTTCAGGCATAACAGCTCCCTCAGAGTGGATTAAGCCTACCAAATATTACACAGACACACCCAATAGTTTTCATGCAGGAAACCCTAAAGCTTGACTTTTAAAACAAGGTGTTTTCATTTTCTGTCAGAATTAGATCCAAATTGCAGGCATGGTCACCTGTTCTGAGGGAATGAAGCCTGCTAAATTTTTGAATAATAGCTGCAATGCTGGTCCTTCAAGGATAGACTTTCCCATTTTGGATGGGTACAATAGGAACTTAGCTAGACTGGTAAAGAAAAAGTGATTTATAAGTTTTGCATATGCGATATAACATTGCACCACCAGATGGCGTTGTGGAGTCCTATTCGTCTCTACCTGTTTTCCCTGTTTAAATTTACAACACATTTAACTGAAATATTTATTTGATGTGTCTAAATCCAGCCTAGGAATCAATGTGGGTGAAGGTGGCAATATATGAAAAAAGAAGAAGAAAAGAGCATGGCTCCTCAGGAAAGACAGGGGTGGGGGAAAGATCACACACACAAACCCCCATGCAAGGAACCTGTTACCCCAACAATTATTGGTGGGGGTGGGCTTCTGTCCTACCCCCATGGATTTTTCGTGATACAACGGAGATCTGTCAATAGACTTGAATAGAAGGTGGCATTGTACCATCTGAAAAACAAACTCAGTTTTTAATTCCTCAACTGTGAAAGGATTGCCCTGGGGAGATAATTCACTGTGATTAAAAGCTAGGCCTGTCTGACAAAACAAAAGATTCTTCTCATGTCTCCACCCCCTTCACTTCTGAGCTCTGGGCATTTCCCCAGTCAACTTGGGCTCCCCCCCCCTTTTCTCATGGGGGGTAGGGTGGGGGAGGGAGGAAGTGTATTTTTTTGGACAACTGATGCCACAGAGCCTTATTTATTAACACGACAATCCAAAACGTAAGAACCTCCCCCAAATCACCTTGATTCATCTCATAATTCGGTCTACACACCTCTAGGATATAGCACCCCCCCCCTCTTATTTTCCATGGCTTCTTTGCTCTCTGTGGGCATCCTGAAGAGGAGATTATGCCATTGAGCACTTTGGTTATAATGGACTTGAAGAATGTGCTTAGGAAATTGATCGCATCATGATTGTGGTGACAGTGAAGAAGAAATAAAGGGCTGGTGGCATATCTGTGGGACTTGTGTTTGTAGTGTATCATGTCAGCAATGCTTTAAGAACCTCATATCACTGAAAGGCCTATTAACATTCGTTCATTTCTTTCTTGCATCTCTCTCCCTCTCTCCCCCCCCCCCGCCCTCTCCACACTTTTCAAGGAGCAGCACATACTATCCAGTACTGGCTCACACTGACTAGGTTAAACAATTACACTACACTAATTGGCCTGTGTCGGTCTTGATGAGTAGGTAAACAAATGCTGCACGAGAAAAGCTGAGACAAATTGTATCTAATTAAATTGATGAAAAAAAGTGACAATGACAACAAAGAAAGCAACATTCACAGTTGCAAATCACAATGCTTATGTGAAAGCACACACCTCTTATCAAAATCTGCAATTCTGCCCTGGGTGCTGGAGAGAGGAAGGTTGATGAGCCATCCCTCCCCCACACATTCGAGAAATCCCTTAATTATAGCATATAAAAAGGATTGGCTACCATCTATGTTCAGCCATATGAGCTCCTGTGTGTGTGCTCCATGCATATACAATATGTGCAAGTGAAAATAGTGGTGACTCGCCCACATTGCTAAAAGGAAAAGGTTTCTCATTTGTTCTTGCAAATTACCTCCTTCCTCCATTATATATTTACAGATGCTTCAGCTCTTCCAAAGAAGCAGCAAAAGAGGAAGCACAATTGTGTCGTGCTTCCTTTCCACCTGCTTCTGAACTTCATCAAAATAAGGGCCATGTGCACTCTTGCCACTACAACAGAAGAACATGCACCGTCCACTTCAGACGAGTGTCTCATATTTAATCTTTCTTGGAACCATTGAATTGGCTTTAAGCATTAGGGCTAAGGTCAGAATGGCTAGCTTTCAATACACAAGGAAAAAAACCTTCTCATTTGCCGTTGCAGTTGCCCACTTTGCTCTATAATAAATGTGAACATTTAAAGTTCACAATTGCTTTCAAATTTTAAGAATAAAAAAATATGCAAAATTAATTTAGCTTTCTGGTTTATTTTGAGAAGACTCAACCAGATTAGGACTGATACAATACTTTCTTCAGTAAAGATAATTGTGTGTCTTCTCTGGACCAACAGCACCAGGAACATGGCACATGGCACCAAATCAGACCCTGAGCTGATTTAGTCAGTAGCCGTATAACTCGCTCACTTATTTATTTAGCAACCACTTTTCCAGAAAATGTCTCAAGGTGAAATATAATAAATCACATACCATTAAATACAATAAAAGCAGTTTGGTAAAATCAAAAGCAAGCATCAGAGCATGAAAATAGATTCAAATCACAGCTCAAATACCACCCTAAAGAAGTTTTCAAGCAAGCAATAATGGACTCATGTCTAGGGAATTAAAGTGGCTCTGTGGGTGCCTGTTTTCTAAATATTCACTGGAGGGGTTGGTAAATTACAGGCCAAAGATATCTGCGATCAGATGCTGGCTCCCTGCTCAGCTTCCGCCACCAGTCAGAGAAGGGAGTTACAAGCGGTTCCATCTAGGACCTTGCTGATAATTCTTTAGTTTAGGAAGTCATGTGCTGCTACCTGGTACCAATGGCTGTCATAAAGTTTCCAGAGCTGCTGCCTGGTGAACTTGTCCCTCAAGAAGGCCATCAAGTTTCTCCTCCTACCAGCCAGTGTGGTGTAGTGGTTAAGAGCGGTAGTCTCGTAATCTGGTGAACCGGGTTCGCGTCTCCGCTCCTCCACATGCAGCTGCTGGGTGACCTTGGGCTAGTCACACTTCTTTGAAGTCTCTCAGCCCCACTCACCTCACAGAGTGTTTGTTGTGGGGGAGGAAGCGAAAGGAGAATGTTAGTCGCTTTGAGACTCCTTCGGGTAGTGATAAAGCAGGATATCAAATCCAAACTCTTCTCCGTGTCACGAAACTACTGGTCTTCACCCTTATTTTAGTACCCTGCCAATCTGACTTTGGATCCCAGCCTTCAGCCTTTCTCTATGCCTACTTGCTCTGCATCCACCTATCCTGTTCAATACAGTGGTACCTCGGGTTACAGACGCTTCAGGTTACAGACTCCGCTAACCCAGAAATAGTACCTCGGGTTAAGAACTTTGCTTCAGGATGAGAACAGAAATCGTGTGGCAGCAGCGGGAGGCCCCATTAGCTAAAGTGGTACCTCAGCTTAAGAACAGTTTCAGGTTAAGAACGAACCTCCAGAACAAATTAAGTTCTTAACCTGAGGTACCACTGTATATTCACTCAGCTTATATAACCTGCATCCTTGCAAGGGAGTTTCCAAGGTCCTTGGAGGAGGCAGTAACTGCTGTGCAAATCAGGGAAGCACTTGTAAATGGATGAAATCAATGCCAATTCTGGCATTTGATACAGTAAATCACCAAATAGTGACAAATTATTTGCAATACCTTGCTTGGGTTATCTGGATTGGCTCCAGATAGAGGTGGAACTCGACATTTTGTTGGCAAATGTGTGATCCCAACCATTATTATTTATCACCAAGAGCCTACAGGGCACTTTACAACATAATGCAACAATGCATTGCAGAGATGGTGGGCAGGCATAAACCAAATGTTGCTTGTGTAGGAGGATCAGCAGATGCTGAATCCCTGCCATGACCATCTGATTCTCCTCAGAAAATGCCTACTGGGCCATATTTATGTATAATTTAGGATGCTGCCTGTGGGAGGACTTAAGCTGCAGGGGCATTTATAGAGTAGAATTAAATAGCCCCTGTTCTCAGTTGCTATCACCTGCAAGTGCCTTCCCACTCCCCAAACTATATTTATGAAGAGAATCGATTATGGAATTCTGTGCTTCTCTCATAACATCTACAGTTCTTTCTGTGGGGCATCAGCAGAGCTGAAATAATTGGGGAATATTGTTCTGCCACTTGGAAGTTGACCTACAGTGTCCCACAGGCTTCAACATTATCACCATTGTTTATGTCCCAGGATGTTCAAATGCACTTTTAAAAAACACAAAAAATGACAAATAAAGCTTTAAAAAGAAGAAGAGGAGCCATGGTTGTACACTATGCACTGCAAAGTCCCTTCTGCAGTAGACTTGATGGACCAGGGCTGACAGTGCCCATAGGACTCCTATCTATGTGTGTACTTACGTCAGGTTTTCTGAGGCACCACACACTGGGCCTCAGCTGCTCTCTCAAAAACCTCAGGTGTCTCTATCACACCTTACTGATTACTTTATCTCCCTCAACAGCAGCAGCACCTCATGCAAGAGAATATCACACGATGTTTCACTCACATCTAAATGTGCTTATTCTCCTCAGTGAGCGTGCAGCTAAAAGGCCTCTTTGCTTTTACCTCAGCCAACATTCATTCACTCTTCCTTCTCTCCCCTGGACACAACCGTCTTGGTTGTCTAGGTTACTTGCTGGTTGCCGCCTATGGCTCTCTTTTTTAAAAACAAACAAACGAACAAACCCAGCGACTTTACATTATTTATTATTTCAACAAAGCTGTGAGAGATCCTGATTTGGCAAAGGTAACCCTGCAAGTTTCATGGACTTGAGTCTCCAACACATAAGCCGTCAACTGTCCAGCTACTGATAGCTGGCTTAAGTCAAACGCCGGTTGCATTAATATGTGGATTGATTCATTAATTTACAGCTAGGCCTGAAAAATAGAGAGGGGTCTGAGTTCCCTCAGATATTACTGGATTCCAAGTTCCATTATCCTTGACCATTGGTCAGACTGCTTGGGGCTAATGGGAGTGAGAGTCTAATAATATCTGGAAGGCCTAAAGTTCCTCACCCCAACTGTAGAGAAATCATCCAGGCTTCATATTAAAGGAATGCTTGGCAAACTGATGTGCAAATAAATAACTGATTTTTGCAAGGGTGCTGTTGGAAAGACCTTCTTATCAACCATATCTCAAGGTAACAGCAGCAGCAACAACAATAAAATGAATAAACCAATTTAATGATAATAATAATAATAATAATAATAATAATAATAATAAGCCTCAAGCCTGTTGCATTCCTAATTTTAATGAGGAAACAATAAGGAGGTGATAAGCTGGCAGCTGCATTTTTAGCTAACATTCCTCTTTTTAAAATTTACCTCAGTGGAATCAGGCTATATTGGTGGGTAATTTTCCATGACAAAAGATGAGGAACTCACCAGCAAATTCCCTTCTGCTAGTCGTATTGGCATCCCGTTCTTGCTGCCTAGTACAGTTAAGTTTTTTAGATACTTTACTTGCATTTCTAATTCAGTTATTCTTCTGAAATTTATTCAAAGGATTTATGCTTATGAAATTATAATATAATGCTGCCTATATGCCAATGAGCTGCAGGCAAAGAAAATAATTTTCTTCAATTTACAGTTATGAGGCTGGAAGAAAATGATGCCTTCTTATCACCTCTTTTTCTTTGTATGTCTCTCTTTTTTAGTCTTCAGAAGGCAGGAACTGATGATGAATTCTTAAGCAGATCACACTGATAATTGTATTTCAGAACTGTCATCTCTGAGAAGACTGTCCACAGAGGTGTCGCAGTTCACTTGAGCTATTTGTGTCATTGCTTCTCCAAGAGCTCAGCCCTCAATAATAATTTTTTTAATAATAATAAAAAAACACCCTAAATCACTGGGGATATTGTTAAGTCTTCTGAAAGGATTATTAGATGGGGGGATTTATAGATGACACTTTTTAACAATTAAACAGGAAAATGTTGATGAAGTTAAGTTGCCATTTTGTACTGCAGCAGTAAAGGTGTAGATGTATTCAGATATAATATTTATAATAGATATATATAATTAGCTGCACGGCATAGTTACCGTATTTTTCTGCATATAAGATGATGGTTTTTGCTAAAATATTCAAGTAAAAAATTGGGGGTCATCTTATATACGGATGGTGAATGCACAGGGGCTCTGGCTCTGATGTGGGTGGCCTGGGCTTGGGTTCGAGCTCTTGAAATATGGCAACCTTAACTTTGGGAGACCTCCCCAGCTCAAAGTTGTTCTGTTTGATCTTTAAAATATTCATTTCTTTAGTAAAAGGCGAAAGATTTATACGATCTGAAGAGAAACCAGAGTATGTATACATACATATATACATATACATATATATATATATATATATATATATATATATATATATATAACAACTATGTAATATATGTATGATTCATGGACTGGATATGACACATGTAATTTATGTATTATATTTTGTATTTGTTTATATGTATATATAATGATAAACCAATAAAAATTCATTTTGGGAAAAAGAAAATATATATATATTCATTTCTTAATTTTGGGTTCAAAATTAAGGGGCTGTGTTATACATGGGGGCATCTTCTACACGGTAATTGTGACTGGGTTTTTGTTTAGAACATTCTTAAATGAAATTTTGCTGTTCACAAATAAACTGTGATGGGGAATTTAATTCATCAAAACAAAATCAAACCAAGATTTTTGAAGGCCACCCAACCTTATCATTCTGAGTAGCCTTCTGTAATGAATGAGCTTAGCTGGTTGTAAAACAAAGGTATACCTAATCCTGACTTTCTCTGGCAGGGCCATGGTGTAATATACAAACTTACACTTATGTGCATGAAAGGGTTAACCTGAGCTCAGGTTATCAGTGAGTGTGACTTAACAGGCTCTAGGTAGCCTCTGCTCCCCAACTTCTTGGTTTTTTCCCTTGGTTTTGCTTCCTGGAACAAGCAAAGAAGGAGCCATGTGGCTTAGGCTTCTAGCTCAGCAAATGCTGCAAGTGAATGGAATCTCTCCAAAAGGGAGATTTTAAAGCCTGCTTCTTTGCTAACCCAAAGATTGCATTCATTTTTTTTGTAAGGAAAAAAAGTCCTTTTCTTTTTAAGCCATTTGGAAACTTTTTTCATCTGTGTTTTACTGCTATCAGATGGAGACTTGTTTGCTGTAACTTCTGGAAACTCTTGTGAGTCAATCATTCACTTACGGTATTTAAAAAGCTAAGTGTCCAGCCCAAGTATTTTCATGGGGAGTGTTTGCTTAAAGACTTATATAATGCATTTAGGTATGTTATTTTCACTAATATATTCATCTTTATGCACATTTCTGCCTGATGTGTGCATTTTTGTAAACATTGTTTGGCTGGAAATCTGCACCACAAAATTCTGGGAGTGTGAATTTCAGAGGATCATAGAATTGTAGAGTTGGGACCCTGAGGGTCATCTATCCCAACCCCTGCAATGCAGGAATATGCAGGTGGCCCAGCTGGGGATTGAACTGGCAACCTTGGCGTTATCAACACCATGCTTTAACCAGCTGAGCTAACTGGAGTTTATGGCTGTGTTTTAGTTGTCGCATGGTACATTTGGTAAATTTGGCTTTAAATGAGAACTGAATGGAATGCCTACTCTCTGGCAAGTGGGATTAGAACTTCAGCCTGTCCAATACAACCCATTACATTTGTTTCCAAAGAGTTCTCTTCACATAATAGGTGCTGCAAGCTAGTCTTGTGTTACAGCAAATTGGGGCCCTAATCAGTAGCATAAAACACTTTTTTCATATTGGCAGTCATCCTTGCTGACATATATTCAATCCCAATGTTCACTGGTGAGCTAAAATGTGACACTTCCTTCTTCAGATTGATGTACACAATCCATTTCTGCAAGGCAAAGTTCTTAAAGAGCTGTATTGTGAAGTACACCTCTCTCTGCATTAGGTAAATAACATCATACCAGTCATTCCGTTCATTACATTCTGTTGATTATTGGAAAGGAAACAAGGCTTTCTCAGAAATAAAACCTTCCCAGGGAAAGGATTCTTTTCCTTCTTCCCCAAATTGGCTTTTAGATAGAGCTCTTCACATACACAGGCATGTAAGTGAACTTGGATCACAGGCATGATTTTCATTCAGGGCCACATCTCACATTATAATCTCCCTGGTTATTAGTATTAATCATATCATAACTGATAAATGAGACATTAAAACAAAAGTTATATACCTCATCATGTATGAATTTATGAGCATTTGTTGGATTCCTGACGTATGCACCTAGACCAAACGCCCCTGCCATGCAGTCACTTTGCCATTCACACATTTGAAATGACATGTTTCCCCCCTAACATGACAATTAATAATAGCTTAGGAAAGCAGTTTAGGAGCATCTTTTTATGCTAACGAGAAAAGAGGCAACTTTTATAGATCCCCTAAATGACTATGCCCTATAACAATTGGTCCCAGAAATGACCAGAAGGGAATGACCCTGAACTTAGTCTCAAGTGGTAACCATACCTGGTGTGAGATGTTGAACCAACTAGGAACAGTGACTAAAGGTAAAGGGACCCCTAACCATTAGGTCCAGTCGTGGCCGACTCTAGGGTTGTGGCGCTCATCTCGCTTTATTGTCCGAGGGAGCCGGCGTACAGCTTCTGGGTCATGTGGCCAGCATGACTAAGCCGCTTCTGGCGAACCAGAGCAGCACATGGAAATGGCGTTTACCTTCCCACCGGAGCGGTACCTATTTATCTACTTGCACTTTGACATGCTTTTGAACTGCTAGGTGGGCAGGAGCAGGGACCCAGGAACAGGAGCTCACCCCGTTGCGGGGATTTGAACCACCGACCTTCTGATCGGCAAGTCCTAGGCTCTGTGGTTTAACCCACAGCACCACCCGCTGTGACTACAGTGCTATAAAATCAACATCTATGTAAGTGGGCAATTGCAAAGAAAACCCAGCACAGCTACAGAAGCATTAAATAACTATGCCCAGTGGCAAATATCCCCTTTTGGGGCAAAGTGCTTTAGAGGGTGGTAGTGGCCCAGCTTCAGGCCCAGACATGGCACTGACTGAAACCATCTTGGTCATCCTTGTTGAGGACATTTGTCAGGAGAGAGCTGTAACCTGCCGTAGGATCTCATGGTCAATAGCATGAAAGAAATTAAAATAGTATATATATATATTTATGGATCATGGATGGATAGATAGACATAGATAAACCAGCCCCTGTACCTGGTAACTGGAAATGTAACATGATTTCTTAAAGAATCGGTCCAGGGGGAAACTCAGAAAATACACGTCAGTTAGCTAATTGTATTTTCAGGAAAACTGGTATACTAAAACATATACAGTGGTACCTTGGGTTAAGAACTTAATTCGCTCCGGAGGTCCATTCTTAACCTGAAACTGTTCTTAACCTGAGGTACCACTTTAGCTAATGGGGCCTCCCACTGCTGCTGTGCCGCCGCTGCACGATTTCTGTTCTCATCCTGAAGCAAAGTTCTTAACCCGAGGTAATATTTCTGGATTAGTGGAGTCTGTAACCTGAAGCGTCTGTAACCTGAAGTGTCTGTAACCCGAGGTACCACTGTAGAAGGACAAGTCTTGCTGAGGAAGAACCACTATGGTTTCTGCAAGGATAAGTCCGGTCTCATAATACTAGAACCCAAGGCCACCCAATGAAGCTGTACGTGTGAAAATTCAGAACAGACGGAAGGAAGTACTTCTTCAACAGTGCATCATTACACTCTGGAATTCACTACCACAAGACACAGGCTGCCAACCTGGATGGCTTTAAAAGTAGTCCAGACAAACTCATGGAGGATAAGGCTATCTGTGGCTACTAGCCATGGTGGCAGTGTACTGTATCAGAAACAGGAAGCCTTTGAATACCAGTTTCTGGGGAGTACAAGAGAGGAGTGTTGTTACATTCGTGTTCTGTTTGTGGGTTTCCCATAGGCATCTGTCTGCGAGTATAGGATGCTGACCCTGATGGTCTGATTCAGGACTGTTCTTATGTTATTAAAATAATATTTTTAAATACACACGTATAGGGATCCTTAGCAATAACGTCAATTGTCCCATTATCCTTAGCTATGGCTACATGTACTGAGAGGGTTAAAGGAAAGTCCTGCTGTT